CTGTCCTGTGTCTCCCCTGCCTTGGCAGGGCTAATGGCGGCAGGGCAGAGGCCCACTCCCAGTGCCACCATGCCTGCCAGGAGCTCAGCGTGGTGGTGCCCCAGCCTTGCCCGCCTCAGGCAGATCCAGGGGCACATGCCCCCCCCCCTGCCAGATGAATAGCTCCCGGACCAGTGGCACGCAGCAGCGGGAACCATCCTGCCCCCCTCCTTGCGCCCCTTGGATAAGCTGCACCTTTGTCTCGCGTCCTTCCGTTCTGGCTGGGCAGCACTTGCCCCAGCCTCTGCTCCAATTCCTCCTTCGCTCTGGGGACCCTGATTTCCACCCCCAACACCCCTTCTCTCCTCTCCTCTTCCACCACAACAGACTTTCCAGCTGGACATGGCTGTATCGAGCATCGTAAAGTTGAAACCTGCCCTGGAACCTCAAAACGGTGTCAATTTATAAAGTTCATAACTCAAAAGTTGTAAGTCAAGGACTGCTTGTATTGATGCATGTTACTTTTTTTTTGAAACTGCTATAGGTTTTAGTACAGGTATTCCATAAACACACTTTTGAGCAGCACTTTAGCATCTACTTATAGTAGTACAAACTATGCATGTTATTAGTCCAAAACTAAAAGCTTGTAACTGGGCTGGGTTCCACCAGAGTCAATGGTATTTCAAGCTATGGTGACCCCATAGCTCCGCGTTGCTCAGCATGTGTGTTTGTGTACTCCAGTTACCCCCACAAAGGATCTATGTGCTAATTAGCCTCCACTCATGACTGGAACCAGGTGTTCTTGTCACAAGTCTTGGGATATTCCAAACATGTATATGCAGATGAGGCACAGGGCAATCCTGTCCAGCTTCAGTTCATGGAAGGTAGGACCACATTAATCATATGCACCAGGTTGAGAGGGGCAGACAGGGATGGTGGGTGAACTGTATGCAATGTTGTTGCTCACCATGACTTGAATGGTGAGGGGGACTGCACTCTATGGGTACTACCGTATGGCTTAGACAGGTGGGCTACACTATTCTATTCTTGTAGTAGGTTTCCATCAGCATGTTTGCTCAGTGTGGGCCATATGTGTTGGCTGCATGTAATCAACTTCATAGTTGGTGTCCGTGGCTAAGCACATGCTACTTTTGGCAGTAGTTTAATGGTAGACAGTGTATTTAGTGAGATTTCATTGTATGCAATTATAAAATACAGGGCTTTTTTCCGCATGCCAATTCAGTGGGGGTGGGCTCGTCTTGTATTTGAGTAAATATGGTAAATCTTGATCCAACTTTTGTAAAAGCAAATTGATTATAAAAGGCTCTAGGGAAGCAAAAATCTGAGAGGAAAAGCTATTTTTTCTGGTCATACTTACAGTAATAATTTAGTATTTGCATTAAATGCAGTTCATATTAGTAGGAACACAATTCCTTTTTTCTTTATCCCTCTTAATTTCATGATAAGTGCATGGTTCCCATTGTGTAAATAAGATCTAATAATAAGATTGATATTAAACCTAATGTAAGGAAAGATACGATGTTGATCCAAAGCTACAATAGAATCTAGAAAAAAAGTCTTCGCTGTGAATTTCTAATGGTCCCAATTCTGATTTTTATCAACCAACACAAAATCAAAATGAAAGAGGATATTAGATCTGCCATGCTAACACGTTCTATTTTAGGTAACTTTATATTGACAGGCTTGCCTAATTTTATGAGGAATAGATGGGTTACGTAAATACTGTATGCCTTTGGAGGACTTTTTCTTTCTTGGCTGAAATCCTCCTCTTTGAAAGAGAATAAATACAGGAGCAACTGCATTACTTGAGACATGTTTTGCTTTTACACACTATCAGTTATTTTGAATTAAACTAGATTACAATTTTTCCTTTTCTAAATAGAGTACCGGCATTTATTTCCTAGCTTACACTAAGGGCTTTCTTTTGGAGCATAAATACAATAGTTAATTATTTGAAACCTTGTAGTTGTGGTAATTCAAGGAAGGAATTTTAGGTGGTTTTCTAATCACTTTCCTATTTTCTATCTAGGAAAGGCTTACTGCACAGCTGGCGGAAAAGGATAACAACCTTCAAAAGTGGCGTGAAGAGAAAGATCAGGTAGTAAAAGCTTTGGAAGTGCAGCTTAAAACTCTGTCTTTTAACAATGTACAGAAAGATAAAGAAATAGAGGAACTGAAGCAGACTACGTTAAAAGGTTCAGGGAAGGTCAGTCTAATCCTTTTTTTATGCATGAATTGTTATCTATTAGTTTTGCAGAAAATTATTTCAAAGCTACGTTTGTTTGCTCTGAAATCTTGAAATGTTGAAAATACTCTAAGTTAATGTAAAAAATAAAATCATTCTGATATCTTATTCTGAAATTGAATTTGTACTGGCAGTCTGTGAACTACTGAGCATTTTAGTAGTTCAAAAAATATTTCAAGATTATTTAATGTTTATGATTTAAAAAACTGTTCAAGGTTCCAGTCCAGGCTTTCTTATGAGATCTGTGGTTCTTCTGTGTCTTTGTCAGCCAAAAAAATAATGAAAAAATATCCTTTCTTGGGGCTGATTTTTTTTTTTTTTTTTTTCTTTACTTATAGTTCTGATTGAGGTTAACAGTAGATGAGGTTTAGTAGCCTGAGAAACAAAGCAGTAAGAAAAAAAAATTGCTTTCCTTTATTTCTTCATTTTTTGGTTTCATCGAAGATCAGAAATGTAAATATATAACAAATATATAAAGCCAAAAAGCTAAAGGATTGAATTAGTTACTGTCTGATTAACTCAGTTTCTTGAGGACAGGTATGCATATCACAAATCACCAATGGTTACCTTCCTGGTAGGTGTAGCAAGGAGTTTAGGAATGGGTGAATAGGGAGTGCATCTCAAAAGGAAGATCTCTTTGACAACTGAAAAACATACTATGAATTGTACAGGAAAGCTTATGCTGTGTGTTCCTGTTCTGTATTTGTTTTCTAGAACCTTCCATAAATACCACTTTAGCACAGAGAATTAAAGTTTGCTTTTACCACAGGAATAATTAAGTTGTATATTACTGTTTGTAAACATGCCTGTGTATACTTATATTAGTTGGCCAATCCTGCATCAGTTTATATAATTAAACTTATTATGTGTTTAACAGGAGTATGAAATTGCAATAGAGCAATTAAGAAGAGAATTGGCTGAGAGGCATGATTTGATAAATAAGCTAAAGCAACCTACTTGTCATGA